TCCGTACTATTACATACTGGTAAGTTATCTACAAGAGAATTTGGGATATTCTGTGTTTAATGGTTGGAAAGATGTGTTGTAGCTTGAAATTGACCCACTACTCATTAACAGCCAGCGAGATTTTTCCCAGGTTTATTTATTTTTTTAATTTATTTAATTTAATTTTATTATTTGCGCGAATAATTGACCCATAGATATGCTTTGTGTTCTCTGAGGTTTGATATCGTCGACAAACAACTGTGCTCATTGACAGTGACATGGAAATGTACTTGGAAGACCACAGTTTACAATGCCGTAATAGATTTACACACTGCATACCATACATTACAGAATGAAAAATATCTTCAAGATGCTTAAAGTTATACTCGCCAAGACTGCTTTCATAAATGCGCATGAGAAAACCAGCGAACACTGCCAGCCAAATTGTCGCCTCTATAACAATGCCACGTAGTTTACGTACAGAAAACCTCAAAGCGAGCTTTCATACTTCTGCCCCATTTTACTTTTCTTTGGTCAGGGTCAGTTCACTAGACTCAGTTCACATAAATTTAAAGCTTTCATTTTACTAAAAATAACATACCGTTAAAAGATCATTTTTATTATTTATTTAGTGTTCTGTCTGACGACAGGTCCATATGAACAGGATCGTTCCATCCTTTTCTCGGACTGGGACCTGTTCATATACGTTCTCGGCAGATGATCCAGAAGTGGTTTGCCATTGTCTTCTTCTGTGTGTGAATGGAGTAATTGTTGGGATGCCCGGAGGAAAACTCCGTGTTGCCTAGACCACGGCCTTGCCCAACACAAGTATCTTTTAAAACGTTTTTATTTAACGAAATGGCAGAAAGCGTGTCTCTAAACACGATAGTTTTTAAACTGCACATTTGTAACTGCCATAAATGGGCAACTGTAAACTCTGCATCCCAGAGAACGCCTTTCAACTATAGTGTACTTCGCGGTTCAGTTTAATTATTTACGAATTTCAGAATACCAACATTAGTTTAGTAATCAGTTTGACGAGAATTTTTCTCTCAAACACACTGTTGTTTCACAGAATAAGTAAATCTATATAATTACTTATACTACACGAGAGAAAGATGAGCCGGGATAGCTCAGTCAGTATAGTGACTAGCTACTGGCTGGACGACCAGGGTTCGATCCCCGATGGGGGCAGAGGATTTTTCCTCTAGCCTCTGCGTCCAGACCGGCTCTGGGACCCACCCAGCCTCCTCTACAATGGGTACCGGGGTCCTTTCCCGGGGGTAAAGCCGGCCGGGGCGTGCTGCTGACCACTCACCCCCATCTAGTGCCGAGGTCAAGGAAGAGAGGAGCTATACCTTCACTCACCCCAAACGCCTACATGGACAAACTTTACTTTACTTTTACACGAGAGAAAGACACTAAATAAACAAAAGTATGGATTACAGACAATTTTAATTTATTACACTGGGATATAATTTATTAATCGCCTGAAAGCTGAAACAAATTACTTTTCAAATGTAAATGTTGAGGGGTAATAAACTGTGTGATATACATCAAGAGTCGAGAGTGAAAAAAACACGAAAACTAAGTTTTCAGGAGTATGTAATAATGAAAAATCCAACAGTTTTAAAAATTTCTATGGCTTCGAACCACGTCATGACAGAAAATTATGGTTTGGAGGTAAACATATACTTATTCCAGACTTCTCACTTGACATTTTCAATCTGTAATCGCGTAGATCTAGACGAAAAACTTTAATACGAGTCTGGGTTTGGCCCTGACATGGTAACGAAGACGAACACTGATAATTGGAACTCGATCTTTCAACCTGTAGAGAGCCAAGGACTTCAGCTCATAATGTCCCTTGTTAACGCCTTCATCAATATTAAATTGAAATAAGCATCCTCATGATGGTTTATGTTTGCACTTTATTTCATTTAACGATGCTGTCGGCAGCTCAGTCTACACAGCGCGGAGTGGTATGATGATTAATACTTAATAAAGCTAAAACGATTTGAAAGGTAACGGTCGTGGCCTAATTTAAGGTACTGTACAGAAAATACTTGAACTGAGGATAACCAAGAAAACATTCAGTCAGTATAACCAGTCTGCGGGACGAGATATGAATCAGAGACGTCTGAATAAAAACCAGGAGTATTAATCATTCTGCCATAAAGATCGGAGACGTAAGTCTATCTTTATCAGAACACTTAAAAGGAATTATACACCAGTTTAATGATCTATTGCTTTGCCTCGTTTCCATTATTATAAATCGCTATTATCTTTTGTGATTTAGAATCTAATTTTTACACCGTATGTGTGCTGTAGTTTCTAACATGTAATAAAATGGTTCTCTAAAATGCAGGGTTGTTCAGAGGCCAACAAATGCTTACTTAGTTCATCAGTCAGACCATATTTTCCACAACACGAAACGCATCAAGTACTAAAGCCACTGTATCTGCTTCATACAAACTAGGGTTTGTCGGGATTTAAAAATCGGTTTTCTTGGATAAATATGTAAAATTCGAAAAACGGTTTTTAAAATTTAAAAAACCGGCTTTAGATGCTAGAATTAATATGTAGAAATTAATTAATTAAAAACGTTAACATTTTGACTTGAAATCGCCTCGGGCACAATCATATTGTAGTAAAACTAATCTTCATGAGTCACACAGAAATTAGTTCAAAATTATTAAATGCTTTAGAAGTACGAATTCAAGAAAGAAGACAAGTTGGATTGGTAACCCTTTTGCTATATTTGCAAAATCCACAAAATATTTCAACAAAGAAATCTAGTGTATTTCCACTAGCTTCAAAACTCGATATAGTTATCTGAAAAAATATTGTCTAGAATATATCCAAATTCTTGTATGGAAACAGATTCCGATGATGAATGTATCGGAGACGGAGAAAATATTAATCAGGGCAATGTTCTAAAAGAAGCCATGGAAAAATCAATTCATAGGTTTCTTGAGGAACCTGAAGAAATAATATCAAATCCGAAGACACTGAAGGCCGAATTTTCAGTATTTGAGGCAACCAATAAAAGAATAAATAATTTGGATTTATTATTTGATGCCCTGAAAACGATAAAACCAAGTTCGGTAGCCAGTGAGAGAGTATTTTCTATTTCAGGTAATTTTGTATCTAGAATAAGAATAAGATTAGGTAATCGTTCAGTGGACATTTTATGTTTTTTGAAATCACATTTCCTGAAGAAAAATACTAAATGAAATAAAAATTTATAATTTATATTTTATACGGATTTTAGTTATTTTAGTTTTTTATTTGGTATTGTATGTAATATATTTTATTTTGTTATATTTTTGTAGTTCCATAAATATTAAGTAAACTGATAATTTTTAAAATAATTATAAATATTTTTTTACTGTTTTAATTATATTTTGGTTTTTTGTTAAAATTCGAAAACCTGTTTTTTGAAAATACTGGGATTCGAAAACCGGTTTTTTCAAAAATCGGTTTTTGTACAAACCCTAATACAAACCTACTTATCGTTACGTAGCAAACATAACGTAACATAAAAAATAGTGTCTGCGAAGATTGATTATAACTGGCCAGCTCAGTCTAGAGGTGAGTCATTACTAACGGCTGTCTTAGCATCGCGTTTAAATATACGAAATGAAATAAAGTACCTATTCACTCAACAGTGATGAATAAAACAATTGACAAATTCTAACTTTTCCTATATTCCAATGTTAAAATCTGTCAGTGTCATCTTTTCAAACACTTTCATATCCAGGCCAGTTACAAATTTACTGTTTTCCTCTCTTCGCCTTGATATTTCACTCATCACAAATGAGCAGTCGAATGGATCTGTTAATACCCGGTAATAACTTTATACCAACATTCTTAAACGTGTAAGATTTGAGGTTTTCACAGCGGTGAGTATGAATATTTCTGTCAACATATTTCTATTGAAGATTTCTGTCTTCTGAGTTGTTGTGTGAACACATTCATCGCCCTGATGACGGAGGCAGTATGACCGATGAAACGTTGGTTAACATCGACCAGACTACACAGCGCAACAACCCAGAAGACAGAAATCTTCATTCTTAAACGTATCTGCAACAGTTCATTACTTATCGACAATACAGGAAAAACTTTAACAGACTTTGTGTAGTAAGGCAAAACCATAGGCACAATTACATAAGCATTTTATTTCTTCAAAAATTCCTAAAAATAGTCTGAATATATTATTTATGTTCTTTTCCGAATATGGCCAAGCATTTGTTAGATTTAAGGTGCAAGAATCTTAATTTACCACGTAATTACATTAATATCCTCGACTTTATTTTAAAGTATCTTTTACATTCGATACAAAGCACTATCAAACCGTTCTTACTAGGTGAAAATACTTTTCTGAGAATCTACAGCCAGAATTTATGTTTATTTAAGCCGCGTCCACTCTTGTAACAGAACCTGGTAACGTAACGGCGTCGCGTAACTTCAATGCTTCGGTGTGAAAGCTGATGTTTGCGTCGGGGTTACAGGGTCCCGTCCACACCGACGCATTGAAGTTACGCGACGCAGTTATGTTACGAGTTTCTGTGTGGACGCGGCTTTAGAATTATTTTTAGTTAGACGTCGAAGCTGAAGACTCCCGGTTGATATAAACGGATTCTCTCTTTTCTATAATTACGTTGTTTTTAAATGTGGGGTAGCTTTTATTGGCAACCAAACTGAAGCACACTGTCGCCCTTGATCGCATAAGAAGATATGACGGATGTTTCTCGGAAGCCGCTTTCTACAGCAACCACACCGTAAACACGCGAAGAGACAGGACTCTTACTTTCGACTTTGAACACAAGACTCTGCTGGCCCAATATGAAACAGAAGTTGATAAGAAAGCAGTTTATAAATGTGAGAAACTGCCTCAGTTTTGAAGGCGTCTGGTTAATCCTTAAGTGTCAATTTGTACTTAAATATTCTTCCGTGAGATTTAAATGGTAAGATATAATTTCTGTTTTAGAATCTTATAAAAAGTTATGGGGTCCGCAATGGCCGCGCGGTCTGAGGCGTGGGCTTTGTGCCGCTTGATCGCTGGGACCGTGAGTTCGAATCCCACTCAAGCCATGGATGTTGTCCGCGTTTTTCTGTGTTGTGTTGTCCTGTGTACAGGTAGAGGCCTTGCGACGGGCCGACCCACTCGTCTAAGGATTCCTACCGAATGTCTATAGATTAAGCCAACGAAAAGTTAGGACCCGAAGTGCTCAGACACTTGAAGAACGGGTCGTTCCCAGTATCCAGAATAAAAAGTTTTATTCAATTGTTTAAAACCACAAGATGCCTTTCCTTCATTGGTCCACTTAAATTATAATTCCAGACAAGGACGAAATATTTAGTGCGTGCAGAATGGAAAGGGTTGAGAAATGTTAACGGCCACAGTTGTAACAACGAGCTTGGGCGGGGGAATGTGTCTAGTTTAAACATCGATGATGAACGTAAAACCGCACCCGGCTGAGATCTAAACTCCCCACTCCCCTTCCGAAGCGGGACAGAAGGATTTGTACAAACATTAACAGACATTACAGTATAAGCGTCGTCGTCATATTACAACATTCTTGTTGAAAGAAACATGCCAAATGGCAAACAAACATAAACTCACATCTCCTGAGTTCTTGCAAATATTGGCCGACATTCGTCCTTGCTTAATTATGAAAGTTCGGTGTTTGTTGAACACGGATGACCGGCACTGATACTGGTGAACACACAGAATTACAGTTAACGACTAGTGCTCAGTAAGGAGGACTTAACATCAATACAAATCACGTTTTACTTAAGCCCTTCTCACCAAGAACCAAGAAGTAACTACAACTGTTTATCTCAGAACTTCCTACCAATTAGATATTTCCATCTCGTGTAATAACGAGCTATGTTGACAAATCGATAATGCAAACAGTTAATTGGACCCTGTTGCATATTCATAATCACATTAAGGAGCTTCGTGTGTTTGTCTGTCTGTTCCCTGTTTAAAGTTTAGATAAAAAAGGTCCGTTATGAAATCTGAGAGATGAGATTTGAGGTTCTTAAGGCGACGAGTATGAAGATGTAATCTGGTATAAGATGGCCGACGTTTTAGAGGTGCTTGTTTCCTCCATCATCAGTGCGATTGAGGCAATTAGCACCTCTGAAACGTCTGTGGATTTCTACCAGATAAGATGACGCAAAATCCAGAGAGACAGTCAATGCTAATGATAATTATGTTGATGAGAACGGTGCAACACATTTATATTATACAAAGACTAAACTGAACTTTTATACTTTTTCCAGAAGCGGTCCATCCAATGAGTAAGAACTAAGAGGTGCTTGGCAAAACGCGAATGTTACAAACATTATTTCTCTTCTGTTGATTATCTCTGCCAATAATATCGTTGAGTGTGTGCATAAATTTTGGATATGAGTGCGAACGAGAGGTACAGAATCTCTGAGCACAGGCTATTAAATCTTTGGTAGCAGCTAATACCGTTAGGTGATTAGCGTGAATTAGGAAAATCCTATGATTGTGTTGCAGGAAGAAGAACTACGGTGTTCTGGTGATCCGAAGTTCTCGCATCTCAGCGACGACCTGCACATCGAGATCACGGCCTTTGCTCCGCCAGCGGAAGCACACGCGAGAATTGCCTACGCCCTGGCGGAAGTGCGTAGGTTCTTAGTTCCGGTGAGTAACAATTATTTTTGCAAATGTCTCCTCCAGGAAGCGACGTCACTGTGTCTCCGGCCTAGTTTCGAACTCACAAATTGTTGCCCGACAGCTGCAGATTCTCTCTTGACCGGAAAGTGGCGCAGTAATCCTTTACCTCAACACGCCCTACATTAAACGTCAGGTTATCAACTACAGGACACGAGAAATCAAGGTCGCTAGTAGGAAAAGTCACAACTGATTACGGTCCTGAGACAATTAGATTCAGTTAATATAATCATGTATTTCCCCAAGATC